TTACCTTAATTAATTGTAAAGTATTAATTGGTCAAGCGGACCACGAAATTAGTGAACTTCATATCTAAGTTAATTAAGAGCCTGATAATGAGATATTTTCGCTTGGTATTATAAATGCTAAAGAGAATCTGTACCATTACTTGAGTAGATGCCAACATTTGGAAGACGTACATATCCACTACTTTGGTAAATTTAGCCATTGTACCAATAAAATTATTTCCTGCTCGATCGAACAAACAAATCATTATTCTGATGTTTAGTATGACTTTCATTGTTGGTTTGATTCGTCATCGGTACCAACAAATTTCAAGTGTATAACACATCAAAGCCCACAGTAAAATATCACAAATTATCATTTATTGATGTTCTATTTTACTTTAAAAATTTCTTTATAAGTCTTAACAAATTAGCATAAGAGTATAAATTTAAACCTTTTATTTTTCATTTGAAGGATTTCCGGCAAAAACCTCCCATCACAATAAATTCTCATACACACTATGTGCAGTTGCTGGAGTAAGGTAGCCCACAGTCAGCATACGTCACTGTCGTATATGCGTAATATTATTCGTAAACCGGGCCGAAGATTTATCTTCTGAACAATTTGTCAATACATCGTCTAAAGCCAACTGAAAAAAAGATACATATTGTTATGTTAACACGAAACAATGTAACATTATTAATTTATTAGTAATAAGCTTGGTGAGGTTTTATATTTGATATTTTCCAATGTGGCTTACTAGACAACAAAGCTTGTGATAATTTAGTAAAAACAGAATTATACCATTCACCTTTAGAATTACTATTTCACGTACATAAGGATCAACCTACTAGTAATAAAAGACATACATATTCCTTATTTTTAAATAAGTGAGATTTTAGTGCAATAAATTCCACTGTATGTGCAATCGATTTGGAACATTTTAGTAAATTAAAAATTGATGATGCTTTTTGTATTTTCTCGTTTTTATACAATCACAAATTGATATAAACAGCCAACTAAAATAATTTACGATTCTACCTTTCCCCTCTGGTTCACTCATGACTTTAAAATGTTGGTATTGCGAAAAGTGCAGGTCATAGGCAGTATAAATTTACACTATTTTTAAGAGACTATAAGCAGTTTTCGAATCTAAAAATGAGGTGTAAATGCTTAAGAAAACAAGTGCATTCTGTCTATATCAATAATATTGGAAGATGGTTTAGAAATGCAAGTAGAATAAATAAATTTTAGAACTTTTTAAACGTGTTAAAAAGTTCAATTTTCTCCTGATAAAATGTTTTTCAATAACTTAGAAGCCTCTGATATGCTTTCAATTTCCAATCTCTTTGCAAATCATTTTTCCAGCGTTCTTCTTTAATTCTTTAACATTATCAACTCCTTAAGTTTATGGATATAAATCCTCTTACCTAGCATAACTCTATCTAGAATAACTGTTACCCCTTGAAGTATTAAAGATACTCTCATCTCTAATAGTAAGTAAAGGTGCTGGACGAGATGGGATACATAATAAAATATAAAAATATTACAAACTTGCAATTTCTCCCATTTTAGTTTCACTTTTTAATAAATCCATATCTACAGACATTTTTCCTTACGTATTTAAAAATATTTACATAGTTCCGGTTTTTAAAAGTGGTAATAACAGTAATAATTGTAATTATAGACCAATTTGTAACCTGCTGTAGACAAAGTTTTTGAAAATATATTAAATTCCTTAAACATAAATAAGGACGTCATTAAAACGTTATAAGTTTTCGAGCAACTTACGAAATTTCTCAAGGGTCGCACTTATTGCCTTTTCTTTTTAAAATCTACATAAACGGTATCTCTGATTGTCTTCCATACGTTATGACCTTTTTTTTGCAGATGATTTAAAAATATTTCTAACAATTAATTCTGTTTCTGACTGCTTACAACTTCAACATGCCTTAGTAAAACTTAATAATTGGTGTCCAACTAATAATATTCTTTTAAATTCTGACAAATTTTATTTTTGATTAGATTTCGTGGTCCGCTTGACCAAATAAAATGAATCAATGAAATCAAATGAAAAATGGCAAAAAGGAGGAAAAATGCAAAAAAGGTGGGGTTGAGATGGGAAGTTAGTGTCCGAGTGGATCGAAGACACGATAGCTCAAGTGGTAGAGCAGCGGCGTATCTAGCCGAAGGTCGTGGGTTCGAATCCCGGTTGTAACACTGACTTTTTTATCTCAACCAAAACCTTTATTAATGGAAAAGAATTCTGACAAATGTTCAGTTATGACTTTCCATAAAACAAAATCTCCTATCAAATTTACCTACGCTATATCAGACCCGTACCTAATTAGACGTGAAATTGTTAAAATTTTTGGCATTATTATTGAACTTTCACACACTGATTAATAAAACTATTGCTAAAGCAATTAAAAATTCAGGATTTATTGGACAAATATTACATTACTGTTCACTGTTTTGGGCTCCCTTTCAATCCACCCACATCAGTGGCATAGAAGTGATTTAAAAAAGATTTTTACGTCTGATACATTACAAAACAATCTGAGCATACACCGTACTCATCGTTAATGTCGGTTCTGAAACTGACTGTTCTGTACATAGCAAATTCTTTGATTATATATTATTTTATAAATATTACATTCCTTAACTTATTGTTCATTGCTGCTTAACCGAATTAACGTTCATGATCTTATCATTCCAGAAGTCAAATAACATACTACTTATCATGCCAAATTTAGTTTTATACCAAGAACAACAAATTTGTGAAACTCGTTCGAAAATAGAAACATTTAATGTCTGTTTAAGCAAATTTTTTTATTAGAAAATTAAATATTGTATCATTAATATAATTAATTAATTAAACTTTATGTAAGCTATGGGCTGAAATGACAAAGTTAGTGTCACGAGCGGGATTCGAACCCACGACCTTCGGCTAGATACGCCGCTGCTCTACCACTTGAGCTATTGTGACTTCGATCCACTCGGACACCCACTTCCCATTTCAACCTACCTTTCGAATTTTCCCTCCTTCTTGGCATTTTTCAAGATTGAGATGACAGCACTCGTGGTGGAGCAGCGGCGTATTTTGCCAAAGGTCGTGAGTTCGAATCAAGTGCGTGACATTAAGTTTTTCATTTTAACCAAGACCCTACATAAACATTAATTAATTGAAAAAAGTTATTTGGTCAATTGAACCAGGAAATAAAATGAATATAATTAATATTGAATTGTATTATAATTAATAATTGATAATTATATAGGTTTAATACACATTGCAAATCGTTTTTGTTCTTTATTATTATAAATATTTTAAAATTTATGTTCCGTTATAACCTTAATACTTTTATAATATACATTATATATACATTCTTAATTGAGAACCCGTAAATAAATAAATATACGTATTTCAATTTTTTTTCACTGTGCATGTGTTGGGCTTAATAAATTATGGCTTAAATGGCTTGGGTGGAAGACAAATACCGGTTCAATTATGATGACAGAGCAACATATGTTCAGCAGGGTCTGATCATTATAGATCCGGTAGCGACATAAAGCTTAGTCGACTTGTCATTCTCTTTCCATAACAAGTTAAGAATATCATGCACAAATGCAAAATATTGATCAAACTCTAGTTTAATTTGTGTTGAATTATTAATTATAGGTTACTGGTTGTGCTCAGTGCAGTATTGCTTAAAAGTAATAAACACGCTGGTCTGACAAAAAGGTCTGGCGTATCCGGCTGCACGAGATTGAATTCTATTTCGTTGTCGTCGTCCCAACTGTGCCCGTGTTCGGTTCCGGTTTGTAGATGTGACTCATGCAAATGCTCATTAGAAAGATTGCAACGGCTGCAGCCGTCAAAAGGCGGAGGGAAGCGGCTGTCAAGGCGACATTTCACATACCCTCAGCCCCGGAACGACGTTCCCTTTCTTCGGCCGACAAGAAATAATTGACAGGCTCCTTTCGGGGATTCGATGCGGAAACCCACCAAAAAAAGACATTTCTCTTAAAAACGAATCCATTTTACGCGAATTTCACACTTGATATTATCGATGGAACATATATTGATGAAACGCACCCTTAAAACCCATCTTCAAAATCTCGAACTTATCTCCAGTACTGGAGACTCAAGATCAATAAAAAAAAGTCCCAACATATAAAGTAAACGTGTAAACGACCATCTCCTATCTATTTTTACCATACTTCAGCATAAGCATGTGATACTTTGAACTGCAATTGAACAAAATGCTCAAACGGATTGCTACACAATTAATACAAATGCTGAAGAGAATGTCAAACAAAAGTACCAAGTTGACAGTGGTGGCTGGTCAACAGAGACCGTTAGTGCGTCCTTCTATTCTCGCTAATTTTTGTCCCACTCGTGACAGTTTCGAATTTACGCCATCATCAGTGAAGAACTGTAGCTACAGCTTACTTCACATCGCCTTAATACGGACCAACGGACATCAGCCGCGTTCCATCAACAACGAAATTAAATCCCTAGAATCCAAAATTCAAAAAACCTAACATTTCCTCTTCGTTACCGATCATACTCTCATCTGAACATAAGTAGGTTTAAAACCTGGCCCGTGGCTGTTAATAGGCTTTTAATCTAAACTATCTTCCATCCCCTGATTTTAATTTACGGCTTATCTAACATAATACATTCAAACTTTGTACCATTGCAAAAGTTAGAGGCTTAGATGGCCACACGACCGTCATACAGGGCAATGTCGACACTCTTGGGATTTGATCGTGTTTCCATAGCCCAATTGTCAATATATTGGATGAAAGCCGGTCATAATATATATATTGTGTGTGTGTGTGTGTTAATGTTTCCATTTTTACCTTTTTTTTGTAGAAAAATTATACAGCCTCCCCCCCCCCCAACTTCAAAAATTTCAAATATGACCCTACGCTTCCTGACATCATTTTAAACGATTTTTTTACACTGAAAACAATGGTGTAATCGGATTTTAAATTGGTCAAAAAATGAAGCCGGGTCCAGACGAGTGTAATGTAACACGTAACCTAACGCGTAATGCAAGGCGAATTCTTTGTGTGGACGCTACTACGAGCATTACATGTAACGCTCGCCCAACCGTTCGACCGGATCCATCGGGGTGTCGGTTTTTTGTGCGAACACAAAGGCGCTCGCAGTTCTCGTTTGGACGGCGTTCGTGACAGTTGTGCAGTGTGGACGTTCATGATGTGGAGTGACGAACAGTCGCTTGAACTTATTGGTTTATACCAAGGAAAACCAGAAATTTGGAATCCTAAAAACCCGGATTATTTCAAAAAAAATCTGAAAAACGATGCATGGAGTGAAATTGCCCTTTCATTGGGAAGAGAAGTAGAAGAATGCAAGAACAAAATTATTAGTTTGCTGGCTTCACATCGAAGGGAAAGAGGGAAAGTAAAGAAGAGTCAAGGTACCGGAACAGGTATGTTTTATTATAATTATTTTATTGTATTATTATTATTTCGTAAACTTGTTTTATTATTATTCCATATACATTCATACATACTTATCGTATAGGTTATTTCTCCATAGAAGTATCCATATGATGTTAGTTGCTTCCTGGTTTTCTTTAGTTTCGAATGTAATAATAAATAAAAAATTTATTTATTATTTATTCAAAATATTCATCCTTTTTTACAGGTGTTGATGAAACATACAAAAGTACATGGTTTGCTTACGAGGCGCTCGCATTTTTAGGGGACAGAAATAACCCAAGAAAACGTCTTAATACTGAGGTAACTGCATACAGCTTGTCTTTTTGGATGAAAAAAAGAAAAAAAATCCACTTAACAATACGTACTCTGCCAAGAAACTTTGCCCTCTTCTAGAAAATAGTCAGTAAACTCAATTCTGATTTGTTTTGCGGGACAAAAATAAAAAAAGTCATTTGATTTGTTATTTACTAATCACATTTCATGTTTAAACTGCTTGCCTTGCGAAAAGAAGCAAAGGTTTGCACTTTTTAACCATTCTTCGCCGGTGCTCAGAGCGATAGTCCAGGGGAGATGGATTGACAAGCATTTTCTATCCTTTGCCGCAGTTCTTCAACTAAGGTTGCTGGGTTATAATAGGCGTAGACACTGTTTTTTAAATGAACCCACAGAAAATAGTCACATGGAGTTAATCGGGTGATCGAAAATGCCAACGGATCGGGCCATGAGGACCACCTACCCGGATGTGACGATTCAAATAACGTCTCACCTGCAAAGAATTGTGCGCGGAGCATCCAACAAGCTACAGAATCATTCTTTGTCGTTGTTGCAGAGGAACATCATCTAATGGTGTTCGTAAAACCTCCCTCAAGAAATTGAGGAACTGAGCTCCATTTGAATTATTTTCGTAGAAATAAGGCCCAATTGATTTATTTCCGAGAAGTCCACACCAAATGTTGATTCTGTGAACCACCTGATGATGACAAGAGTACAAAATTCTCATATATTCCTCAGCCTACGTTCGAAAATTCCAGCGGTTTAGTTCATTAAACTTGGATTCATCAGTTCATAGGATGTATGGAAGTACGTTTTCTTCATCCTCCCAAATCGACCTTTGTGCAAGAAACGTTAAACGCCTGTCATAATCAGAGTCCCGAAATCTCTGGACAAAATGAGAACGATACAGGTTAAAATTAGTCCGGTGTATATCTCTAATTGAAAAACTTCTTGACGCCCCTTTGTCATCTTTTGATCAATTTAAAATCCGATTGAACCATTGGTTTCAGCCTAAAAAATCCTATGATGTGTCAGGGTGTATAGGGTAGTGTTTAAAATTTTGAATTTGAACTGGGCCTCAGGTACCCTGTATACTTTTTCTACGAAAAAGGTAAAATTTGAAGCTAGACTAAAATATGTTAAACACTTTTTTTTGTAGCGTCATTGGTTCAAGAGAGATTCAGCTGGGCCATCTACAAAGGACATCCTGTATACAGGGTGGCCCAATCGATTCAGCCACACTTCCAGATATTATAGGAAATTGAACGCTGAGTAAAAAATGTCCTATGAACCTCTGTCCGCAAACCCTTCAATTCCGAGCTACAGACAAAAAACCATGAAAAACCCATGAAAAACCACGTTTTTTTACCTTATTCGTGAAATTGTTAGTAAACCGTTAGCCTGACCGTAAAATAGCTCGAAACAACATCTGTAGAGGATTAATTTCTGCGTCGAATGAAATTAAAACCAGCCTGATCGGCTGTAAATTTCATTTTTGGCGATTTTACGAAGTTAGGATGGGAAGGGGTACACAAAATTCACCATTTCTGAAATTTTTATCGAAAATTCACAACTTGAACTGTTTTCTGACGGGTACCCCCTACTGATCGAAATAATATATGGAAAATCTGAACGGCTAACCCATCGCCTCATTTTTGGCGATTTTTCGAAGTTAGGAGGCCCCTTCCCCTCCTAACTTCGAAAAATCGCCAAAAATGAAATTTTCAGCCGATCAGGCTGGTTTTAATTTCATTCGACGCTGAAATTAATCCTCTACAGATGTTGTTTCGAGCTGTTTTATGGTCAGGCTAACGGTTTACTAACAATTTCACGAATAAGGTAAAAAAACGTGGTTTATCATGTTTTTTTGCCTGTAGCTCGGAATTGAAGGGTTTGCGGACATAGGTTCATAGGACCTTTTTTACTCAGCGTTCAATTTCCTATTAGATCTGGAAGTGTGTTTGAATCGATTTGGGCCACACACACACAACACTCACACACAAATATATATATATATATATATACATAGTGCGTGTATGTGTGGCTATAATATTTTATATATATATACACACACACACTTGATATTTAATCTCATGTGATAAGAACATCGAAT